AAAAGCTTTATCATAGAAAGTTGCTTGATAGAGATTGTGAGAAAGCACGGGAGAAAATATATTATTGATATATTGACATATGTTACAATGAGCCCTATATATATACACACATAACATGTCCTACTCCCAATATATATTGGATTAGGATTATTTATTTACTCCTATTTACATGACTATTCTAACACTCCCCCTCAAGCTGGTGCATATAAATCATATGTACCGAGCTTGTTACATATGTAGTTAATACGAGGACCAGTGAGGGACTTGGTGAAAATATCTGCAAGCTGATCATTCGACTTCACAAACTTTGTAGCAATATCTCCCGAGAGTATCTTTTCTCTAACAAAGTGACAGTCAATCTCAATGTGTTTAGTTCTCTCATGGAACACTGGATTTGACGCAATATGAAGAGCAGCTTGATTATCACACACAAGTCCCATCTGACTAATCTCACCAAATTTCAACTCCTTGAGCAACTGTTTGATCCAAATTAGCTCACATGTCGCCATAGCCATCGCTCGAGGAGACTGCTTTAGACCATAAAGTGACCGACGCAAGCGACATACAAGGCCACGAGACTCCCCCTGAGCAACAAACTCAGGTGGTTGCTCCATATAAACTTCATCCTCAAGGTCACCGTGTAAAAAAGCATTCTTAATGTCCAGCTGATAGAGGGGCCAATGGCGAACAGCAGCCATGGATAGAAAAAGGCGGACTGATGCTATCTTAGCCACAGGAGAGAAGGTATCACTGTAATCGAGCCCAAATATCTGAGTATATCCTTTGGCAACAAGACGAGCTTTAAGACGATCAACCTTACCATCCGGACCAACCTTGACTGCATACACCCAACGACAACCAACAGTAGATTTACCTGAAGGAAGAGGGACGAGCTCCCAAGTACCACTCGTATGTAAAGCAGACATCTCGTCAATCATAGCTTGTCGCCATCCTGGATGAGACAATGCTTCACCTGTAGACTTAGGGATGGAAACAGAGGACAAAGAAGATAGAAAAGCATAATAGGGTGATGACAAACGATGATAACTCAAACCGACATAATGGGGATTAGGATTAAGGGTGGCCCGTATACCTTTCCGAAGTGCAATCGGTTGTATTAAGAGGAGACAAGTCCGCAGTATTAGCAGGGTCAGGTGCAGGACGTGAATCAGCTGGACCTGATGCTGGGCGCGGACGACGATGATATGTCAAAAGTGGTGTTCCTGTGGCAGGGAGTCTAGAAGGAGCCACACTAGACTCCTCAACGGTTGGAATGGGTAAGACTTCTGTAGCAGAAGGTGAAGGAGGAGCTATAGGAGACTCGGGTAAGACTTCTGTGGCGGAAGGTGAAGGAGGAGCTATAGTAGACTCCTTAAAGGTCGGTATAGGTAAGACCTCAGATATATCAAGGGGGTCAGAAAGGTCAGAAGAGGTAAAGAAAGGTTTAGACTCAAAAAATGTGACGTCAGAGGACATAAAGTACCTACGAAGATCAAGTGAGTAACAACGATATCCCTTCTGAACACGAGAATAACCAAGGAAGACACACTTGAGAGCACGAGGAGCTAACTTATCTTTCCCAGGGGCTAGGTTATGAACGAAACAAGTGCTCCCAAAAACACGAGGGGGAACAGAGTATACGGGTGATTGGGGACACAATACTGCATACGGTATCTGATTCTGGATGGGAGAGGAAGGCATCCGATTAACTAAATAACAAGCTGTGAGAACTGCATCGCCCCAAAAACGCAGCGGAACATGAGATTCAATGAGAAGTGTGCGAGCAGTCTCAATGATGTGCCTATTCTTTCTCTCTGCAACCCCATTTTGCTGAGGGGTATAAGGACAAGAGGTCTGATGAATAATTCCTTGAGAAGTCATAAACTGCTGAAATTGAGAGGATAAATATTCTAAGGCATTATCACTGCGAAAAGTGCGAATGGAAACACCAAATTGATTTTTAATTTCAGCACAAAAATTCTGGAATATAGAAAACAACTCAGAACGATCTTTCATTAAGAAAATCCAAGTACATCTTGAATGATCATCAATAAAACTAACAAAATAACGAAATCCCAAGGTTGAACTGACTCTACTAGGACCCCATATATCAGAGTGAACTAAAGAAAAAATAGACTCTGCGTGACTCTCAATACTACGAGGATAGGAGGCTCGGGTATGTTTCCCGAGCTGACATGACTCACACTCTAATGTGGATAAACTAGACAAACCAGGCACCATCTTCTGAAGCTTGGATAAGCTTGGATGTCCTAAACGTTTGTGAATTAGGTCCGGAGGATCTGTAACTAGACATGCCTTGGAGGATTTTAGGGAGTTAAGGTAGTAAAGCCCTTCTGATTCAAGTCCTGTTCCAATCGTCTGCCCTGTACTGCGGTCCTGCATAATAAAAGAATCATCAATAAAATATATACCACAATGGAGGGCACGAGTCAAACGACTAACAGATGCAAGATTAAAAGGACAGCCAGGGACATAGAGAACGGAATCTAGAGTGACAGAGGGTAGGGGATTCGCTTGTCCAACTCCTTTTGCTTTGGTTTGAGACCCATTGGCTAAAGTAACAGTGGGAAGAGACTGTGAATACGCAATATTTGACAAAAGTGATTTATTACCAGAGATATGATCAGAAGCGGCTGAGTCCACAACCCATTGTCCAGGAGGACTAGACTGGGAAACACAAGCAAAAGAATTACCAGCAACAGAAGTATTAGTCTGAGCAACAGAAGCTACTTGTGGAGATGTCTGCTTACTTGCTCGATACTGAAGGAACTCATTATACTCCCCTTCAGATAAAGAAAATCCCTGGTTACCTGTAGTCTCAGTCTGAGCAACATAAGCATTTTTGGTTGGGCGGCCATGTAAAGAATAGCATACATCACGAGTGTGTCCAAGTTTATGACAATAGGAGCACTTGGGTCTAGATCTTCCAAAACGACCTCCTCCTCGTCTATTTTCCATAGTATGAGATGCCCGATTGTCCACTGATTGGGATACGAGGACAGATGAGTCAAGTGTCTGTGATGAGCTCACTGGGTGACTAGGTGCTGCAGCAAGGCGAAGTAATCGAGAGAATAATTCATCAACTGAGGGGACGGTTGGACTAGCCAAAATCTGGTCACGTACTGAATCAAGGTCATTAGGGAGTCCAGCGAGTGTAAGAACTAGAAACATCTTCTGTCGTTGCTCTTGTTGTTTTTCAATACTAGCAGAAACTGGCATCAACGTCTCAAATTCTTCCATGACTGCCTGAACTTGTCCCAAGTAAGTAGACATATCTAATTCCTGTTTCTTCAAGCTTGTCATTCGCGATATTACATCATAGAAACGAGATATGTCATTAGTGTATAGATTACGAGCCTTTTCCCAAACTAAATAACATGTCTGGAATGGACGGAACAAGGGCATCAACTTGGAATCAATAGATCGCCACAGGATACTACATAACTGAGCATCGACCTTCTCCCACTGTGTTTTGGCCTTTTCATCACCTTCGCTAGCCTTTTTTGTTAAATGATCTTGAACTCCTTGACCTTTATACCACAACTCGACAGATGAAGCCCAATCTAAGTAGTTTGAACCTCCCATTAAAGGTTCTGAGGTAATCATAACACCGGAACTGCCAGAACCCGGGTTTCTAGACCCGAAAGCATCGACTCCCAAAGACATGGTTGGATTATCACCAAATAACAAAAAGAATCAACTGAAAATTCTCTGAAACAGATGAAGAAAACACTGTGTTTGCCGGAAAAGTACTGTAGCTGCCGGAAAAATCAGTGTAGTCGTCGGAAAAACTCAAAGTGGTCGGAATTAAAAAATAAAAATATGGACAGGCTCGGAATTGCAGGGCGATCCAACTGTCCTGAAGGAGCGAAGCCGAAATCTGACAGGAAGGGGTCTCACGCGCCGGCGCGTGGGACAGACGCGCCGCCGGAAACAGTGCTCCGACAGGCGCGTGACGGCACGTGGGTGACTGTTTTCCGGTGATTTTTTCTGGGGTTTGGTCGGATCTCTCTTGGGAACCTTGTGGTGGTGTTGGACTTTGCACAACACTGTTAATTAGTGACTTTGACGCAATAAGTCACTTAGGTCACCGGAAAATTGCACGGTGACTGAGTTCTTTCTTCCCGGATATCGCTGGAATGACGCACAACGATAAATTTCTCACCGTAGCTCTGATACCATGTGAGAAAGCACGGGATAAAATATATTATTGATATATTGACATATGTTACAATGAGCCCTATATATACACACATAACATGTCCTACTCCTAATATATATTGGATTAGGGTTATTTATTTACTCCTATTTACATGATTATTCTAACAGAGATAAACTAGTCTTTCCACACTTTTCAGTGTGCATCCCACCCCTTTAGAGATAGGGAAAACATTTGCTTCAGGTTGCTAAACACCATTCGTGGCAAGGGCACCAAGAAAGATGTGCTTTCGTATGGCTGGCGGTTAAAGGAGTGATTCTGATAGCTCAAAACTTGAGGAAAAGGAGTAGACCACCTTTTACTGCATTGCCAGATAGCATCACGACAATGGCGGAAGATTCTGAGATGGTTTGAGTTAGTATTAACTGTGCCGGATACGATGAAGGACACTCTAGTCAACTGAGCATTCAAAAGGCAGAAGAGAAGCTGGAGAGTGCCGGATATGCTCGTTGGTTTTAATATGGATAGTATGTAGTGGGAGATAGGAGAGCTTTTGGAGTAAGTGAGTTTGACTTTGCACATTATTCTTCTATTTATTTATTTATTTATTTCTTTTTTTGTGGGAACCATGAAGTTCCTATTCGTATTCAAGGATGGGTGTCTTTCACAGAGAACCATTTATCTTTGTAAGTTCTCTAATTTTGGAGTCCTTCTTGAATATCGGAGCATTTCCCATTATTAATGTCTTTATCCCTTGCTTGATTAAAAAAAAGGTAAACCAACTAATAGTAAGCTCGGAAGATAAAGAACTGGTGATAACCTGAACGGAGTTTCATCATGAACCATCTGCAAAAGATTTTCCAAATCCAAAGTTTCTATGAGGATAAGCAGCAGCTGCACTTTGGCATGATAAATGGAGGAAACGGCTTCGGCTGATACGGCCAGCTTCCCGAAATTATAAGAATTTGAAATGAATCCCTGAAATAGATTGAGCAAGAATCAGTAATAATGCAAATCTAAGAGAAGATAACTGCAACTGAAGCATTAATGAAGTACCTCATAAAGTGAGCACAATTTTTTCCACAGCTCACCAGTGCAGGGGTTGAACTCATAAAAAATGAGGAAAAGAACATCCAATATCAGATTGTCTTCGGTTACTATTTCCTCAGCCCACAAAGTATAAAGGTCAACATCCTATTTTGCATGACAAGGAAGGTACTCAAATCTATGAAATGATCAAGAAGAACGGATTGCACTAAAGATGAAAAAGAAGAAGAAGAAAGTACAATTTAGAACACATATATTGCGTTTAGGCAATGATGGGGTCTATCTGAAATACTGCAAGCCTTGTTGCCAAGCAAATTCAGCCATTCATGTAGCAACGACTGGAAAAAACAAATTAATCTAGTGCAACCATTAAATTTCTTATTAAAGAAATGAGTAGTTTATGCAGAAGTCAAGGTATGGAAGTGTTTTGACATGGCTTCCAATTTGACTGGATACGCATGTTTCCCTTGATGTCCTGGGACCAACTAGTTCGTAGTCTCCAACTTTATTTTGTGTGAAAATATTAGAAAGTGATAGATGTCTAGATTCACATTTGCTTCCTTGTTTCTGCAATCCTCATCTTCTAATTGTTGCCCCAGAAGTCCTTTGTCTCCATGTTCATGCATCCTGATCCAAAAGTACACACCTGTCTATTTTTCTATTTCTCTTTGATATGTAAGAAATGTATTCCTTTCAAATACAGAGTCTTTAAATGATTATCTTATTAGAAGAAGAAAAATGATCATGAAAATTGGGTAATTGTGTAGAATAAGTCACCTTTGGAGGTGAAGTTTCACTCTCGTTTTTCTTCACGGATAAAGCACTCTTTTTTTCCTTTCTTTGTGAAAAGGCCAAGAAACCACTCTTAGTAGCTCATACATCAATACCTATCTATCGTTAAGTTCTTAATTAGCCAGTTCAGGCACGAATCAAATTATCAAATCATTAAAGTCCGCGCACGCACAATTCCCGGCACTTTGATCACCATGTCCTGATTGAGGTAAGACAACCTAAATTCTGAACACTGAATACACTACATAGTTTACCGTGTACTCAGAAAAGTATCATCATGCCCTGATTGAGGTCGGACAATCTAAATTCTGAACACTGAATACACAACATAGTTTACCATGTACTCAGAAAAGTTGGCCGCCAGATTCTCCTGCAGAACAGAAAGCAACTTCGTGTCTAGTCCCTCGGAAATCAATTTCTGTGCCTCATTCACAATAGAGACATCTTCAGATATTGTCGGAATATATACTGCATAAAGAGTCAAATAAGATAAGAACTACAAGCATTTATATAATGCATAAACAAGTATGGTGGAGACCAACTTATAGAAAAATGAAATAAAAGGAAATAGATGTAATTTTATCATAAATTCCTATATGTGCATCAGAAATTAAGAAAACATATAAAAGAATTACAAAAGACCAAGTCTTGAGAAATAATCAAACAGATCATTGATGAGGACTTTCAGCTCCATCTTGGTGTTAAAACTTGAAGATACCAAACTATGACAAGAATCTCAAATGAAAATTAATCTAAATGAGTTCAAAGAGAGATTTTTCAGTTCTTTTACACTCCAATTAAAAGAATGTAATTGCAAGAGATAGAAGCAACTATCAATTCTCAAACTTAATCTCGTAAAAAGCTGCTTTTTTGGATGATCTCTTGATAATTCCCCATATTTCATCCGTAAACAGCCTCTTGCATAAATGCAGGGTAAGGCTGCGTACAATAGACCCTTGTGGTCCGGCCCATACCCGGACCCTGCGCATAGCGGGAGCTTAGTGCACCGGGCTGCCCTTTTTTGCCATACAGTCATCAACATACAAATGTTATCTTAATTTAGTAACCTGACTTGAGTCTGAACCGTGTTCCGGCAAGGTCCTTTTCCGTTGACTCCTTTTATTTCGTTTAATCATGGAAGATAAAGTCTTCTTTATCTCTGGTGAAAAATCCATCGAGTTAGTTGATATTTATATATATTTCTTTGTCCATATATTACTGTTTGCAGTTATTTATTATTCTAATTTTGTTGCATTACATATATTTCCTTTTTATTTATTTATTTCCTTTGCACTTTTCTTCACTAACCCGCATTTTAATTGCACTTTCCTCTTTGACAACAAGAAAGGGACCATTGGAACAACAGTAAAGTTATTTCCATGTGACCTATATAAGTCATGGGATCGAGTCGTTGAAGCAGTAACTAATGCTTGCATTAGGATAGGCTGTCTACGTCACATCTCAAGGGTGCGGCTCTTCTCCAGACCCTGCGTGAATGCGGGATGCTTTGTACACGGGGCTGCTCCTTTGCTTTTTGACAACACTAGAACCAAGTTTAGAACGTCAACCTGCTTCTCAGCATTTCCACCACAATGTAGCAGCAAGATGAAGAAAAAATTTCACTAAAACTAGCACAAAATAACAGAGCCAGAAGTCGCATACGAAATTTGGAGCTCAAATTAAGAGCCCCTACTAACTATTTCAGGCCAAGAAAATCACTAATATTTAAGGTAAAATAAAATTTCTGAAAAACAGAACTCGTATGAAACTTTACAAGGACTGCACGACCTAGGCATTCCTATCAAAAATGTTCAAGAATAACATCGCGATAAGTAACAATAAAACAGGAGAAAGACTCACAAGCTTGCGTAATTATCAGCCGCGTGCACTTCAAGAGACATTGCCGTTCCATATAATATTGAAGCATAACCTGGATAATGACAGTAAGCAAAAGAAGAGAAAAACAAAAGACAAGCTGAACAAACAGTTTCGGCAACAAATAGTTCAACATACAATGAACGTGACGCTATTACACTTTCAAATTTAAATTGCAAGTAAACTACACTTTGCTGATTAGCATAGCTGGATTAACATGGACCAGCCTTGAAGTACCATGTGTCACGTAGTTTACCTGAAATCCTTAATACTGCAGGGGTTGGGTGGAGGCAGGACTAGGGGTAGGGTGGGGTGGGGGTGGATATCGACATGTTTCCAATTATACCTCCACGCACCAGAAGTTATTCGACACAATATTAATAAAAGTTGCTTTCTCCAAAATACTAATGAATAGCATTAGAGAATGAAAGAGCATGGAAACTCAGTAACTAACCAAATGAGAAAGCTCGCGAAACACACTATCAGCAACCATACTTTTTTGATTACTCGTTCTATGAACAAGAATAAATGACTGCACCTCATCTAAACACTGCAAAATATGAGAAGTTAACTTCGTTCCAACAATAAACTAAATAAGGCAAGAAATAGAAGAACTGTAATGGTCTTCCGTGTCAAACAGAAACCCATTTCTGCACTGCAAACCACTACAGGCCATCCATGGAACATTATGAGTTCAGTACCAAGATTTGCACATGATCCAGAAAAAGTAGATCTTTACCATAGCAGAACTAATTTTCAAGGCTGCTGCTTTTTTATCAGTTTCTACCGTAATCTGGTGTGGACCAATCTTTAGTCGTCCCGCATCTAAAGCGTCTCTTGATTTCTGATTTGGTGGCTTAAATAGTGAAGTTGTGTGCAAAAACCAAGCATGGTTGTCCTTTATCTTCTTCTCCTGGAAAATAAATTAATTTCTGCGTTTGAATGAGCAAATCATAAACATACTAGTATTTGTAAGAATAACCCAATCCTACAAACGCATAGGAACAATTATATACCAGATATTGCAGATTAACTCATAATTCAAGACTGAAAATTAGCTCCAACCCAGCATCACCTAGTTATAGCATTCCAATTACACCAACAGTCCTCCCTTTTTCTATCTTCTTTTTTCCTCTATTCATGGGCTCACACTCGCCCAAATAATACATCGAGAAAGAAAAAAAAAAAAGACAACAGTTGTATGACATATAGTGTATATCATAATTCCAGACCGAAATAGGCAGAAAAAACTAGGTGATTCCTTTTTCTTTTTTCCTTTTTTTTAATCAAGTAAAAAGCTAGGTGATTTCTTCCCATCAGTGTAACCGATCCACCAAAGGTTCCCCTTCTTTATATCTTCCTCTTTCCCAATAATCTAGCGCTCACCCTCACCCAAAAGAATTGAGAAAATTTCAACAACAACAACAACAACTAATCCTCAGTCCCAAACAAGTTGGGATCCGCTATGTAAATTCTCACTTACCACGGCACTGACTAGGTTACTCCATTTAAACTCATCTCATGCCAATATTATGTACATACAAATAAAAGGTATTAGGAGTTATGTATATGTTATAACGTAAAAAACCTCTGAAAGGCTGAACCGCTCCTAGCCAAATAGTGTATGTTAACTCATAATTCATGACCGAAAAGGGTCTCTTGTAGGACTGGAGACTGGAGTTGCAACCAAATACCCTCATCTTAACTATCTTCCTCTTCCTTCCTTATTATTCACGCACATACCCCCCCCCCCCACCCCCCACCCCACCCCCCCAAAAAGAACATTTCCCGGGAGAAATCCTGTTTCCAGCTAGAGAATTAAAGGGACCATCCCTCTACTCTTCTCCACTTAATAGCGTCAGTGACCCTACCACACATTCCGCATTGTACTGACCTTTCTACCGTTCTTTTCGTAGAGATTTCAATACCATAAAATAATCAAACAATACTCCTACTCCACTATTTGCAGTGCTAAGGTGGAAATTACCAGAAGAGGAGGGAGGTCGGAGGAGAGAGAAACGGATTCGAGCTCAGTAAGCAACTCAGTGAAGGGCTCCCACCAAAGCGAAGCATCAACAGTCACTTCATCATTAACTTTTGCAGGTGTCGCCATTGGAGTAAATCCGATTAGGGTAGAAACCCTAGCCGAGAGCAATTCTTCGAACCCGCGCTTTTCTTGGTTCGAATTTGAGAGCTGAAGAGTACAGTAGTCACTGAAGTATGGAATGTGGGAAGAGAGGGTTTATTAGCAACGGCCCCTATGCAAATGTTACATGCCGAGCCAGGAAGGTCAGGGTTTTACTTTCTATTAGAACCCACTAAAGCAAAAACTTAGGTAGTCGTTTAGGATAAATAGCTCAAACTACCACATTTTTACAAAACTTAAATGCTGAACTTCTGAAATTGCCATGATTTCTTGTTTAGATACCTTAATTAGGCTTTGTTTCGATAAAACAACTATAATAGGTACAAAGTATACCAATTAAATATATTTCGTGAAAAATTTCAAGCTCGTGTACAAGCTCTCACTATGTGTAATATTTAGTCAATCATTTGGCGTGAAAGATAAACCTAAGAAGAAATATGGAAAGTTGTCTGGAAAAAGTGTGAAATGACCTGTTTCCAGTGTAATTAATGTTTTAATTGGCTAATTATTTCATATAAGGATTCTTGCAAACACACGCTTGAGATATTTCTAAACCAATGCGAAATATGTCAATGGTACACTTTGGATCTATTATATGTGTTCAATCGGAATAAGACCTAGTTGATGTGTTCAAATGATAATTGTGGCAACTCTAGGTGCCTATGTATCTAGCCAAACTAAAAGGTTAGAGTTTGTAAACTTTAGTATTCCCCAAAAAAGAACTTAGTTTTTCAATTTCTAAAAACAAACACCCCATTTAGTTTGTACAATAGCATAGCATTTGTTTATTGCATCGATATTTTCATATAATTATATTCTAATTATATTTTAATATCGATATAATTATATTCTTTCATTAACATCTGATTAGAAATATATAATTTAATACTATTTTAGACTGTGACGGATTTATCTTTCGAACATTAAATAAATTTAGTTTGATGTAAACATTACACACATAAGCTTTTTATCATTTGTAAAATATCCAATTTTCTTTCAATTTCATTTAATGGTCATAACAAGAAGGACTATAACTTTGGATTTGGAAAAATTATTTTTTCAGGAGAATTGATGAGCCTTTTCCAGTAAAAGTTTGTATTACTTTGTACAATTATTTTATCTACGCTTTAAAAAGCAAATACCACGAAATAAGACAAAATTACATTCAATTACTTCATGTGAGACATAATTTGATCAATTTTGACTCGTCAAAGCTTTGTTTAAAGTTTAAACATTCTGTGGGAATATTAGTTGAACGTAACATAACTTCACTGGAAGCTTTAACGGTATTCTACATTGACCAAGTAGAGGATGAAATTTTATTAGACCGTGGTACATGGTTGTGGAGATAGCTGGAAGAATAGGCAGCATAGACTTGGTGATGGATTGTTGCGATTTTAAATCTCAACCCGTTATTAGAGTAAAACAACAAAACAGCAAGCTCTTCAAGTTTAATACTTGTTACCACAAGGTAAAAAATTCCTAGCTCAAATGAAATAATACCAACTGAAGTAAGTGAAAGAATCCAAAGAATCCAAGTTTGATATCAATGTAAAGAGTTAAAATCCTACTAGTAGCTATAGTGAAGTAAGCACTAACTTTCAACATCCAAAACCACAAAGGAAATATACAACGAGCCTAAACAACAAATAGAACCCCCATATTAATTCCCAGAATTCATCTCCTCGTTAAGTTTCTTTATACATAATTGATAGCCTAACAACTATTTCCAATCATTATGACTCAAATGGGATTTTCTATCATATCCTCGTGCTGTTCCCTCTAATTGGTTATAGAAACATGGATGGAGACTCCATTAAAGATCATCAAGGAATTTCCCAAGTCAATGTACCAGAAGAGAAGAACCTTCTACTGTCAACCAAGAAATGAAACAAATTTGCTAAAAGGGATACTTTAGAATCATATTTGACAAAATTGTTCTTTTGCTACCTCTATCCCCAGTCAGGGACTAAAACAATAACACTTACAAATTTTCCTCGTGCTACAACAGCGAAACAATCTACCAATTCTAATGTTTAAAACCTATTTCATGTTTAGAACTGTTGATATATCCAGTCTAAATCCTGAATCTGCCTCATTATACAGCTTGATACAGCTAAAAAAAATTTAAATCATTCATTTCTTCTTCTTTGACTTGTTGGAGAGCGACTGAGTATATCCAGTGCCCTGTATAAAAAGATAAAAGGAAGTTACAAATTCTTCAATACCAACTCCAGGCATAGAGATAATATTCCATGATTTGAAACACAAAACCTTTCCAGAAAAAAGCTCCTAACGATAAAAGACTAACCTGCAGCCATTCGTCCATGGATGCATCAGTTGTAGCAGTTCCAACTTCAACCTTTGCCTTTGGTACTCTCTTAGTTTTCTGTACATATGAAAAACAGGAGGAGAAAATTTGAGGAAAACAGAGCAAGTATAGGGCACTTTACCTCACCAAATAGGTGGGAATGCATCACATATATCCTCATTATACCGTCGCACGTTTAACCTCGCTAACGACCTATTTAGAGACTTAAGGTAGACAAAAAAATCCTTTGACTGTCTTGACTCCACATAATAAACACCCTCATGTATCAGAATACAAATAATTTTATTACCTCCAGCTGCTCGATTGATCACTTTGTGCTTACTGTCATTTCTTTGTATACCTAAATATCTCACTAGCACAACCACATCAAGTTTCAGTTACTTAGAGGAGCAGATTTAAAGATTGTAGAAACCAAAATATGTACTAGCTCGGAAGAGTATGGTTGTGTAAGAGCTAAAAATGTAAACCAATAAATACGAACACACTGTAGCCCTACAACCGGTTCCCACTATAAGTATTTTATGGTCCAAACCACTATCTCTGATGCACTAGCAACATATTTCGGCCTTACAAGGACCATATGATGAGTATGCGCAATCACCTTTGAGAGGTTTTGTATCTGACCACGTATCCAGAATACAGAAAGGCCAATGAGGGCAATTCCAAGGGAGACCAAGAAAACAGTCTCAACACTGAGAAGGCCACCAGGCTCACTAACTTCAATAGTGCCATTATGGAATGTACTTTGGTAAGGGTTCTGGTCTATCTCGTAAATAATTGTGCCAACAAGATCATAACTTCCTGGCTGCAACATAAAGAAAAAGTTTACTCAGCCCAGAAAAGATACAGTGGCACTCAAGTGTAAGCAAATTAACATGAAAATAAGCAGATAGTCGAAGAGAAAGAAAATTGCGGCAACGTTGAAAGAGAAACCTACCTGCAAGAATTTGCTGACTGCAAATATATACGGAAAAGTAGCCTGAGCTGAAGGATGAACTGTTGCATTGTTAAAAGCCTGGGAAATGAAAAAAATTACACAGATAGCAAACCGTCCAAATTAATATATAGAAAAGAAGCATGGTAACTAGAAGATTTATCCGATCAAAGAGATATAACACCAAAGTACAACAAATGTAATGCTTCTAGCTATCTTAGAAGCTCTCTACCTTTGAAATAAGCCTAAAAGTGAATTTAACAATGTTCCAGAGCAGCCATTATAAAGAGATAGGAGAAAACAGAGTGAAACAACTCCATCCAATCACATTTATCATTTCTCTAACAAAATCTCATTATCAAAGTCAAACAACTTCTACGACCACAACTTTCTTGAACATTAGCATTTTCTTAATCTATGAAATCTGTGGTTTATGGTATTATGAGAAAATGAATGGATCAGTGTCTGAGATCACCTCCAAACTTAGTAAGTATAACCAACGTAAACCGATCCCTGTCATCTCTTTTTGGACATCCGTTATAGTTCATATGCTATGGTAAGGTTTCTTATGCAATTACTACATGTGATTACCGAGTCTCAGAAATAATAACGTGCATATTTTGATAAATAAAGGAAATTCTACCTTGTAGAACAAGTGTACAACAGATTAATTATCCCAAACACATTCCTGCAATCGCATCTGTAGTGCATCAAGTAGAACTGGTGGTCCAAGCCGAAAACATGAGCGTATTTGGTATGATCAAAAATGCTTTCCACTTGATGAAATCATTTTCGGTGTTAGGTTATCCTTTATAGTGGAAGAGAAAATTTACCACTTAAAGGGGGAAAATGATTTACGTCACCTGTAGGTGAAAGTCATTTTCCTTGACAAATATCTCAACTCGTACTCCATATAAGTTGTTTCTATCAACACTTAAGTATTGCTATCAACCTTTAATACTCAAATGTCACCATGGTACTATCCTTGTACCCTATCATACGCCTTGCACAATACCAAATATCACATACTTTCACCAGGAAAAGACCTGGTGATTTTTTCATATCACCCATTTTTTAAGCCTAACCAAAAATTTAAAAAATGGTCGCAAAGTAAAACATTTTCCATGGAAACCTTTCCGATGAAAAACATTTTCCTCTAAAAAAAATGTCATCCAACATAAAGATGGAAGGTAGTCTAGTCCACTTCTACACTTTCTCAATGTTCAATTTTATCATCAAACTTAGCTTGTTGCGAGGAAGTGCAATGAAACCTATTTAACTGAACCGAAGAAGTTGTAACCATAAACACTAACATGGGAAACTTTCTGGTAATATTAAGATATTATACAGTAACAACAATTTAAATTTGGGTAACTACGAAAACATCTAAGCTCCATAATAAAGAAAGTAAAAACAACCGAACATATTTGATGGAGTAAAACCATTTTTTGTCGATTCAATCAAACATATGTTGTAACACAGCTTATGACACAAGTAGAGCATAGCTTGATTGCTAGAAACGGGAATAAGTCGAACAATTACCTGAGCAGAGAGATTTTGAACCAAATAGCGATGATCAACAGGAAGGTGAACGCTAGCCTGGATTGCAATGATATTCAGTCTTGATTCCCCTGTTTACCCGAAGTTGGGGAGTGAAGCGTTAGAACAGATGCAAGCAAACATGCAATCATGAAAATTTCATCAAAACCAAGCACTTGGTGGGGGTGGAGAAAACGACAGACAGAAGAACACAAATTACCATCATTTTTCATTCCTACTAACAGCTCGCTCTCTTCACCAGCTGTCACGGCTGAAATGATCGAGAAACTTGATTTCAGAGATGCAATCTTAAAATGGCAATCCAAAAGCAGAAAGGGAAACAAGGTGCCGAGTAGAACATTGGATTTACTTACACTTAAAAGAGTTTTTAGGGAATACACAAACTGTTTCAACCCCAGGTGCAGGATTAAAACTCTCACTGCCAAAATCTTGGACATCCTCACCAACAATTCCAATATCCCTTCCTTCCTCAATACCTTCCACCACTTCTGTATCAGGGTCGGATTGACATCTAGCAACTATCAAGAAATATAAACATCGTAAGAAACCAAAAATGAATTAGCAAACAATAGTCTCAAATCCAACAAGATCCCCTTCACAATCAACAGCCTAAAGGATCATTAAGGTATTGAAATGTGTCTGACTCAGACCAGAAATCAAGTGAACTAAAAATCTTTATGGGTGAAAAAGGAGCTATTAACGCACGCATCAATAGTTTTTTCCAGCACATTGCATCAGAGGAAAATTTCAACTAATAGACAGTTTGAGTAACCAGAGACAGAAAAAAAATTCCATTTTTGCCATGAAAAATGGATATAATGCTAATACATCCAATGGATATTTCCAAAGATTAAATGTGAACTGACTTCCAGCTTCAGTTGGGTAAAACCATCAAAGAGTTCAATTGTACGGTTACTATTTAACATCACAGGAACAAAATACCTTATAAAGAGACATAACAGATTTACTTAAAAGGCCAAATCAAATCCAACCAAACATCACCCGGACCATAACATAATAACAACTACTACTACGTCGTAATCCCAAACTAGCTGTGGTCAATGATGAATCAACTTCATCCATTCTGCCCTTTTTCATCCTATTTCATTCCAATACTCAATAATTTGTCTTTTAATGGAAACGAATACAAAGAAATTGCAAAAAGTAAACACAACTCTAGAAATATAAAATTAAGTGATCGAGACAAACATTCAAATAATTAAACCTTTATTTTGGCCGAATTGAATCTCACTACCCAAAATCATACAAAGGGAAGATAAGCTAAGATTAAAACAACATACAGTTCCTCACATTATCCTGCATGAGCATGCAGAAAATATATAATCACAGTGATTTTAAGTTAACAAGCACCCACTATTCCATTGTGATCACAATTGACTCGGAACTGGTATAAAAATTTTATATTTCAAAACAATGCATACAGTACATGCAAAAAATGATAATATATCTAAAGTTAGAGCAATTGGCCCAAGGGGAGAAATCTGAATCTGAGAAGAAGAACGTAGAGGAAATGGAGTGCGGGGGCAAAGAGATCTGGATGTGAGGACCTTCGTGCTTTTAATATAATATAGATATAGATATAAATATAAATAGATATGGATAAATCAAGTTGCATTTTTTTTACTATAGTTGGTGGGTATTGGGAATTTGCATCTAACACGTATTTATTAATACGTGCAATTACATTTTTGTACATAAACCTTTTATAAACACAAGAATACAGAAACATATTAAAAAAAATTATTATTGTTTAATGTTAATTTGCATGTCTATAGTCTTAATCCAGTGGGATGAGTAAATTATCATCCTATTGCAATCAAATCCTCCATTTGTCAAATAAATTTTCGAAATGACTAATTCTGTTATGTAAACTGAGCTCAATAAAAATAGAGTCTTCAATATGTTAACTTATTCTTGCCTTAGGAATATTATCAAGGTTTAAATAGTTGATAATATAATTTAAAATAACTTCTCAATCGAGCAATTTTTTTTTAGGACGTGGATGTTGGTTCTCACAGATTAAAAATTAGAAAACTAAAATTTGTACGCAAAATCAAGATTAAAGTAAAAAAAGAAACAATGAAATCTCGTGAATTTGTTTCTTTTAATAACTACACTTTTTCGGATAAAAAATAATAAATTTACTTTAAGATATACTAAAAATATTATATGTTGACTTGGACTCTATAATCAAATTTTCCATACGTGAAGATAATTTTTTTTTAAATAAATAAATGAGATACCTTCAAAGTCTTTAATTGAAGTCCTAAATATTAGGACTTTTTACATAGTTCAAAGAAGGAAAAATATAAAACTCGAAATTTTAATTGATTTTGAAGTACTAAATATTAGGAAAGTAATTTAATTACGATTTTCTCTAAAGTAAAATTTATTTTTAAAGGGTAAAAAATGTGAACGATATTTCGCTAAGGGCCTTCGTGCTTTTAATATAGTATAGATATAGATATAGATATAGATGAAAATAACATTTTTAGTTTCTGTAGTTGGCTTATCCCATTTTTCATTCTTTTTTTTTATCGAAAATTTTCATCTATCAATTCATTAAGGACGAGAAATGTCCATACCTTTTACAATTTAACTTGGGAATATACTTTCCCCAAAAAAACCATGTACTAAAGAAACGGATTACTATGTTAAGTTATAAGCAACAGAATTAAACATTCTAGGAATATACACAAAAGAAACATGCTCAAGGATTGAAGACATGTTCCAAACATCGTCACAAGCCACTCCAATATCCCAAGAAGCCTTCATATTTTTCTTCAACATATCTACTATCCCTTTCGCATTCCTTGAAGATGTTGCATTTGAATTCCATGAAAATATAATACTGATGGTATAGGTACCAGAAAAACCATAATAGTTCTTGTGGAAAATCCTTGGCTTGAGCTATGAATATATGGCAGAACGGATATTCTGGATTGACCCCATATGGCTTGAGAATGGATCCTCCATGTTGTCGGAAAACTTGGAGCTCGTAATGAGTTCTTCTTTCCATAATAATTGACGGATCAAAGGGATCCATGAGGTTGAACAATTCCGGTGGATGATCTGTTGGCTTTGATGAACTTGTTCTTGGTAAACTTGAAAACATGAAGATGTGACTGATTAGCTTTTGCTTTGACTTCAGTTTTGCTGGGGAAAATCTCTTCGAGAATTCTTCCGGTCGAGATAGAAAATCTGCGAGAATATTATCCTTTCCTTTCAGGTGCCTGACTTCAAACTTGTATGGAGAGAACCATTGAGCCCACCTGAGAATCTGAGGATTGGGAATAATTTTGGCATTTAGCTGAATCATCTTTGGGAAGGCCTTCATATCCATTTCTATCAGAAATTCGGTATGAATAAGGAAGAAATTAAATTTCTTGATTCCATTCTGTACTGCAAGAACTTCCTTGAAAGTGGAGTGATAATGTTGCTCGGCATCTTTGAACTTTCCACTGGCGTATCCGCATATTTTCTTCTGGCCAACTTTTTCTTCAAATAGAACAGCACTCCAATATTCATTGCTAGCATCAGTTTGCAATATCTTCTTACCGTCCGAAGGGATATAGAGGGACTTGACATTTTTAGAAATCTCCTTTATTTCCTTGACTGCTTCATCTTGTTTCTTTCCCCATGGTGGAGCATTTTTCTTGAGCATCTCTGTAAGTGGAGAAATGTATGTAGAGATATTTGGGATGAAATCTCTCACATAATTTATTATGCCCAAAAATTGTTGGATTTGCTTTGTTGTGAAGTTGGTATCCGGAAATTTGAGTAATTCTTGAAATATATGTGGTCCTGGACTGTATTCACCTTGGACAAAATGCATTCCAAGAAAATCAATCTCCTTTTGAGCAAGAACCATCTTTTTTGCTAAGAGCATGATTCCGTACTGTGTTACAATGCCTCAAATTGACAAAGCAAGTTGATATGTTCCTCCAATGTATAACTAAATAACAGGATGTCATCAATGTAAACTAAAGAGGTATGGGGGATGGGTTGAAATATTTTTATCATGGCTTTTTGGAACAAAGAAGGTGCAGTTTTTAACCCGAAGGGCATGACTTTCCATTGGAAGTGATGATCGGGGATGCAAACCCGTTTTGGGTCTTTCTTCAGGGTGTATTCCTAATTGCCAAAATCCCGACTTTAAATCAAACTTGGAAAAATATTTGGCCTTGGCTAAGTGTGAGAAAAGGGTGAGTTTATTTGGGATAGGGAACTTATCATCTTGGAGGAAATGGTTAAGTGGCTGGTAGTTGATGACTAACCTGAGTTTTCCTCTTGTTTGCTCAGCTCTTTTGTTGATATAAAATGCTTCGCATGCCCATTGTGAATCTGATGGCTCTATTAGATCAAATTCCAAAAGTTCTTCACATTCTTTCTTTGCAAGCTGGAGATGATCTTGATTCATCCCTGAATGACTGGCTTTTGTCGGATTGATATTTTCATTTTTCTTGAGAGGGAGCTTGATAAAAAACTCTTCGTTTTTCCATAACGGGCATTTCCCTTTCTTCATGAAATCCTTGTGGGATTCGGCACAAGATTGTTCAATGAGATGTTGCTCAATCTCTTTGATTTGTTCGTCATTGGTGATTTGGAATAGCCTTGGAATCTCAGAATAAGGTCTAAACTGCTTTTTAAAAGCTATCCCGTTGGCCCTGATCTGGAGTTGATCTCTAAGTTGTCTGTAAATGTCGAATCCAATAATAAGATCCTTTCCTGGTACATCAGATCCTAGAAGTTTGGTTCTGTACTTCAATCCTGGAAAGAACTCAATTGTGATCGGGTGCTTTGTAATGACAGTTGCGGTCAAGATTGCATTTGATGCAGTGTTGAAATCCTTAAAATGCGGTACCCATTGATCTTCAGGGAGAACAACAAGATTTATAAGTGAGGAAGCAGCTCTGGTGTCGATGAAAGCAATAACTCAAGTTGGTTTATCCCACTTGGATGAATAAACTTTGAGTTCTACTTGAGGAACGACTGCGAACGCATTGTTTTGCTCTCGGGCTTCGATCATTGGTTCTGAAGTTTGGTAATGATCATTGCCTTGATCTTCATAGATATCAAGAGAGAATAAAGTTTCTTCATTGGGTTCATCATCCACAGAGAATATAGATTCAAGGTCCTCTTCCTTGCCGAGATGTATGCCAGTGTAATCTTCAATTTCTTCAATCAGTTTGACAGATCTTCTTGATTGTGGACAATTCTTAGCAAAATGTCCAATCTTATGACACATAAAACATCTGTTTTTCTTATGAAAATTTCCTCGCCTTCTTCGTCTGAAATATTTTGTGCGTCTCTTGGACCTTGATTTCCCGTCTGAAATTCTTGGCCATTTGAACCTCCTGAATTCTCTCCGTCGCCTAGATGTGTGGCAGGAACATCCTGATCCGGTGATTAGATCAGATTTGCGGCATGCTTTGTCAAGCGCTGGATTGTGTTGGATAATTTGCTTTAGGGCAGAGCGCTTCGTACAAATATCATCCAATGCAACGAAAATAGCTTGTCTGATGTAACCAATTTGTGGGATTGTTATGGACTGAAACTTTTCTTCAATGATGGTCATGGTTCGACTTGCCAGCAACTTTGGAAGGGAAGATACAAAGGCTTGCTTTAGATTGATATCTCCACCGATCTCGAAGTATATCTTCGCCATTTTTTGAAAATGTCTATCAATGTCATTTCTGTCGAATGATACACACTTCATCTCAAAGAGTTGTCTTCGCATTTTCTCCTGTCTTTGGCCAGTATCTCCGCAGAAAACTTCATGTAGGATCCTGATGTTGAAGGCAAAATCTTGGGAAGTAAGAAAAGTATTTTTGTCTTGGATTCCAAGTGAGTTCCACCAATCTCTGAGAATCCCTGAGAACCGTGAAGTGAATTCTGAAAGGATGATATACTTTTCTCGTTCAACCAAATTTTTTGTCACCATCCAAGTATAGAAGTCTTGGATCCTTTGAGGCCATTTTGAAACCTTGACGTCATCTAAGGTGAAAGTGTGGAAACCAGTTCCAATTGGTTTTGACGCCATGGGCTCATATCTTTTTTCTGGGATTGGTTCATCTGTCATGCCTTCTTGTTCCTCATCTACTTCAGATATTTCTGGGTCTCTTGGCTGGTTTACAAATATTGGGGGATCGTCTTCTTCGATAGAGTTCGTTGTGGATTCATTGCTTGATTGAGAGCTATCTTCCATTGTTTCATCTTCTGATGAATTTAGAGATTCCGACCATGGAGTATCTTCCTCTGATATGTATCTTGGCTGGGAGACATAGAGGCCTGGAGCCTTTGGTTAGAGATCATCAGATTTTCGGGATTCGATCCTTTTGAACTTTCTCCTTAGTCTCGCCTTTTCTTGGTTTGTTTCTGTGCTGCAAGGGCATCTTTCCTTTCCCAAACCAATTTTGCGATATCAAAATCATGTTCTTCTTTTGCTGGTTGGGTGAAAGAGATTGGATTTTGCGAGGTAGATGGAAAGGTAGAAAAGGTGTAGTCCAATTTAGGTGGGGAATATCCTTGTGAAGACATAGGGAAGAAGGTAGGCTT